TTTCCCCCTCGCGCCCACCCGCGCTCGCCCCCGAAGCTATTTCGTGCGGATTCCCATATTCCCCTCATTATTTGTCCATTAGTGCAGAAATAGCGTGTTCGACTCGGCGATGGCCGGCGTGGCTTGCCGCTCGCTTGCCGGGCTAAATATTACTTCAAGGAGCAGACGTCCCGAGGCTGTTTTAAAATAACTCGCTAGTGGCTAGCGCCCCGCCCCGCCCCGCCCGCCGGGCTCCGCTCCCGCTAGCGCCATGACGCTGCCCGGCCCGCACCCGCCGCAGGCAGCACGGAGGAATAATCCGCAAATAAAACGGCTTCACTATGGTGTCTGGAAGTTTTAACTGTGACGGGCGAGAACACTAAAGTCATCAAGTTCACGGGAATATACTCGCGGCCGTGTCGGGCCGTGTACACGAGCGAGTGAGTGGGCGCGGGCGGATCGTGCACTTCGCGTAACCGTTAAAGACTCCTGCTCCAACGACCCCGCAGAGGTAGGCCACCCCGCCGGGCACAACACTGCGCCATCTGACTGACTTGGTGTGGTGAGTTGGCGCGAGTCGCGCGTCGATCTGCCCGAAATGAGAAACCATTCCGGTAAAACGAGGGAGAAGGGTCGACTCACTGTATTTGCGACTTCACTTTATTGGTTTTACAGGATGACATCAGGGGAGAGGCCAGGCCACTACTATAAAGCTTCGAGCGATACTTCTACCTATCTATCAACGCTCTCTTGCCTGTACTGGGGTCGGTCCGTGCATGCAGCATGGTGAAAAGCACGACTATCCGCGCCACCCACCTGTGGCTGGGCTGAGCCTACACATCTCGGTGAAGCGCAGTGCTTCTCAGGCTTGCGCACCAGCAGCACGCCAGAGGACTCGCGGCCAAGTCTCCAAGCCCCCACTCCCGCTCCCCGTCCCTCTAACCCTCCCGCTCCGCACGCGCTTGGCGCTACAAAAGAAAAGTTGGCTCTAAAGTCTTCTATTGACTCCCGAAATGAGCTGAGCGCGCCCCAAGCCGCGCTGCGCCGCTCAAAATTGTGGTAGGCGTTCTGGGCACGGCGAAGAATGTGTGCGCCCTGCCAAAGCTCATCCCTCTCTCTCTCCCTCTGTCCACATTGCGCTGCCCCTCTCACTCGTGTCTTTCCCTCCTCGTCTTGGTTCGCCTCTCCCCTCCCTGCGCGAGAGAGTGACAAGGAAAGGACAAGGTTAAGTGCAGGTTCTGGGGACACGAGACATAGTTCGTCATCACAGTGGGGTAAGCGAAGCAGGGAGCGCCACGACCGAGTGGTGTGCGAGGACCGAACATAAGTGTGATGATAATGTAATACATTACATCCCATTACATAACAACGCCCCGTTGTGGTACAGTAGACAGAGGGACGAGAGCGGACGAGAGGCTGTGTGCGTGGATTTAGCAGAAGAAGACAGGTTTACACTACAATAATTATTGTAAAAATTGGCATTGACATTTTAAGCTGTTTACTACATTTCACTCATCCTACTTTACATTTTAAAAACACGGTCACAAACTGTGTTAATCATTGGTAGTTTTAAACTGTTATCAGAAATTGTATATGTTATTTTCCCAGTGCAGGAGGTAAGGAAGAAGGAGAAAGGGAGGAAGACAGATCAAGGAAGTAGGTTGTAGCCTCATCAAGTAGGCAAATGGCCTCTGGTTGGCGAGGAGAGAAGGCAGGGATTTGTTTGACGATTGAGATCCCGCACCGCACCTGAATCAGCCAACACCTCTCCCACCCTGCACCACCGCGCAGCGCGCGCAGCGGCGGCGGCCGTTTCAGACAACAGTGATGATGAATTCGTGGCTTTGCGGACAAGAAGCCTGGTGGTGGGGGGGAAGGGTAGGGGACAGTGACAAGGGGGAAGGAAAGGAAGGAGGAAGGAGGTGGTGGTTGTGGAAAGAAAAGGGGAGGTCATCGCGATGAGGTAGAGCGCGCGGCCTGACAAAGACAGAGGGGGGAAATGCAGAAACATCGCAAGCCGCAGCCATCAAACAACTCGTATCTCACCCGCACGGCCACCCGCTGCTCCCCCTTTTCTCCCCCTCCCCCTGATCTCTCTACTGCCCCCCGTGCGCCTGGCTAGACGCACTCCATTTATTGCCTAATATCACGATAATTAGGGACGTTGAACAAAGGGGTTATAAATTGGGGGAGATGAGGGGGCTGGCCCGCCGAGCAAAGCTTCGGCCAGGGTCGCGCGTCGTGGCGCGTGGTGTCTTCATAAAACAGCACAATGTTACTACTCTGCAGAAACTGTTGTCAGAGGTAATTGCCATCTACATACATTTTCATCGCAAGAACCCTAATTCTAGCGTCTCCGGAGGGAGGATTGCCTGATTTAGAGAAGTTTCCGAACCCGGGCAGAAATACACGGTTCTTCGTTGCAGGAGTCGCCTGAGTGTTGTTAGTGCTAGCCGTACAGTATGTTGCGTCCGACAAGAGGGTGGAAAGTAGCAGTATACTTGAGTGTATACTTTTGACAAATTAATCCGTCCCTCCAGTGAGAGCCAGCAGTCGGCCGCGATGCACGCCCGCCCAGATCCGCCCCGCCCCGCCCCCGCATACCGAAACAGCTGAGTCAACGTCCCAGCAACCTTCTTCAACGGTTGGCGGCGCAGCCCTTTCCTGCGACTGGCCGCGGCGGGGCGGGGCGGGGCGGGGCAGGCGCGACCGAAAGCTCCCGCTGCTCCCCCCGAGCGGCGCGCCCCTTTCTCTGTCGCACCAGCGGCGAGCGTTTGGACGGCGCTGCGAGAGTGAGGGAGACGGGATATCGAGACGCGGCCCGCGGCCCGGCCGGGGCGGGCGGCCCGGGCGCGCCAAATGAGAGGGCTGCCAGGTGGTGGCTGCTGCCGCTGCTGCCGCCCTGCCGGCCGCGGGCGGGGGCGGCGGGGGCCAGGTGGCGGCTGCCAGGGGCGCACGACGCGGTGCAGACGACAGGCCGGGGGCCGCCGCCGGCGGCTGACCGACATTGTCGTTCACACCGCCGACCATGCATGTGAGTCAGCGTTAGCCGGGTGAACGGTGCCGGAGGACGAGCACGTCATGGATGCAGGTCCTTGTGCGCACGGCGCCCACCCTAACCTGTCCAGGTGCGCACGGCGCCCACCCTAACCCGGGCCCTGATGCGCCCCGTGCTCGCCCTGGCGCCCTGGCCGAGGTCCTGGTGCGGACCGCGCCCGCCCCGGCCCGGGTCCCGGTGCGGCCCGTGCCCTGGCGGCGCCCTGGCCTGGGTGCGGGCCGCGCCGGCCGGCAGAGGGCCCCACACGCCGAGGCTCTACGAGGCCCTCTAGCTCGCTATGTTTAGCGTCCGCCCCGGTAGAGTGTGGAGTGCGGGACGGCGTGCGGGGCGGGCGGGGCGGCTCGGGCTGCCGCGGCGCTGCGCAGGCGCCCGCGCCGTCCAACCTGTCGCTCTGCCAAGGCACACAGCGCCTCACCCCGCCTCACCTCACCCCGCCCCGCCCGCCCCAACCCCGAGGTCGGCCCGAGACCACGGTTCGCCCCCGACGCTTATCGTAGGCCGCGAGGACGAGATACCAGGGATGAAAAATCCGTAACCAGCGTGGGCGCCGAGGCACGGGCCGAGCACGCTGGCGACCACGTGCGTGGGCCTCCGCTCCCGCGCCACCTGGACTCATTCCAACAAACCCAGCGTTGGACTGATCAAAATTGGGTTTGAAAAGAAAAGAAAATAATCGCAGAGGGACAGAGAGGGAGAGGGGTGCAGGCGCTGGCTCAGCTCCGCCGCGCCGTTCCGCGTGTGTTCGCGGGCCACCCTTGAGACGCCAACGCCGTGCGGCACCGCGGCGCGGAGCAGGTGGCGGCGCCCTGCGAGGTCCTCGACGCGACGGCGGAGCGGCAGAGGCAGGGAGCGTGCCGGTGACGTCAACGGCAACCTCGGAGGAGGCCGGCCGGGCCGGGGCGGCGCAGCGGGGACCGAGTGCACTACGGAGTGTGTGTGTGTGTGTAGGGGAGGGAAAAGGGTTGCGGGGAGGGGGGGGGGAGGAGAAAAAATTGGTCCGAGGGAAGGCTAGGTGTACAAGCGTAACTTTTTGCGAGATGAAACTCGAATTATTTGGACGGCATGAAAGTGACCTCAACGCAGAGCCCTCGCGCCCTCAGCCTCTCCTAGCTCGTTTCGCTTCAGACGCCCCCCCCCCCCCTACCCATAGCACGTGCGCGCCACGCACTCACACAAGGGGACCTTGGCGCGGGTCAGTCACGCCCGACTGTTCCCCGAGGCACGCAATCTGTTTCGGCGGTAATAAAGGGGAGGTGCCGATGGTCACACCCTCCCCCGCTCTCTCTCTCTCTCCCTCGCTTCTTCCCTCGAGTTCCTCCGCCTTCCGCGCGCCGTTTCCTTCTCTCTTTTTTTTTTCTCTGCTTCAAGGATTCTCCCCCGCAGGCGTCGTCGGCCGCGCCTGCAGGGCCAACAAACCCCTTCCCGACCCGCGAGAATATAAAGCGGGGGAGAAAGGTCAGCCAAAACGGAAAGAGCCCCGAATTTATACAGCACCAAGGTTTATCCGAGGAATTAACACTCTACACTCGCACCGGACGTCGTAGACATCACCGCGCGCGCGGGGCTCCGAAAAGATGCGCGGCACCTGCGCCCCATCTGTATTGCGTTGCCCCCGACCCGGCGCGGGCGGGGCTCGGACAAAAAGCACAGAATAACGGAGGACTTTGTGGCGGAGCAGCCAGAACAACGCAAACCGCTGCGCCCGCCGCGCCGCCGTGGCACGCCGCCGCCGCCAGGCGAGTGTCGCCGGAGGCGCCCGGGCGGTAGGCAGGACGAGGACGGGCGTGCGCCGCGGGCCGGTATCACCAGGCTCGCGGGCGCTCTCGCTCGACTGGCCGCTCATGGAGTCATTTCAAGGGCTGAGCGATTGCACAGATTGGGGAGCTTTCACTTATTTTAATGGACAAAATGCTCATGTACAAATTTCATTCGATAAAACTAACTCAAATAAAATGTTAAATAAAAAAAAAGAGCAACAGTTGCGAGAGGTGAGACAGGTGGCCCACGAGATCATTATAAAAAAAATATATAAAAGTTAAAATGGCAGTGCATATTGAAAATAGGAACTGACACTTGGACCAATTCTTGGAATGTTATAAGAAAACATGAATATAAACTAGGTTTTACAAAAGTTAGAGAAAAAGAAACTAACAATGTGTCCAGGTACAAAAACATTAATTTTAACCCCCAAAATTACAACTTTGCATGAAAATTTTACCTTGGTATAGACTAGTTCTTGAGTACACGATAAATGAAGATTCCTGACAAGGCAGCACACATCACAAGGCTGCATCTGAAATAAAATAAAAAAGTTTAAACTCCAGTGTACCATAAAACTACTGAAACTTTGGTTCATAAGACATACAATGTTGAAGTCCAAATGAATGGATCGTGTTGAATTTTATTGTATTTTACTAGGGCTAATTCAGGATGCTTGTAGTACTCTCGGCATAAGTCCATCACCCTGCAAGAGACGACAAAATTTAGAAATCAAATACAGCAACGTGAAAAATAAAGAGAATTCATTATTATTAATACTGACTGTCCTTTGGTGCTTGCAGCAACTAATGCTAGTTTGTTTGATACCATCTTCACATCAACAGAACCATGCTTTGATAGACTTTCAGTTAGCTATGAGAATTAATAGAAAACTTGTAAAGAAAAAGTTGCATTGCATAAATTGGGATTAAGCTGAACTTAAAAAAAACAAACTCTACTTACTTCTAATGCATCAAGGGCCTTACCATCTCTTCTTTTTACAACAATTATTTCAGGTCTGTGAGAAGGTGGGTCCAAACCATCAAGTACCTTTAAAAATATTGATGAAAAGGACATTTAAAAGTAGAAGCAGCCTTCCAAACTCACGAGATATGATTTACTTACAATATGGGTGAGATTGCCACGAATAATATTGATACGGTTGGCAAGATGAGAAGTAAGAGCAAGATGTTCTGTGCTGGTAAAAGGCCTGGCTGCACTGAGCCTATGATAGAGTGTAATGATATAATTAGAACAAAACCTGTTTCATGAATAAATTTATTTCCAGAGTAACCTCAGAAAGTTGATACATTACCCTCCCATTTCCATGACCCCGAAAAAGTGAGCCATCCGAATAAAACAGAAACCGGCACAATATGAGTCCCAGCCAGCATCATGAAATTTTCGCTCACCCTCTACAATACATACATATAAAAAAAAGAAAGGAAAAAGATAACCAAAATGAAAATAATACGCAATAACTAAAATAAAATTTAGGGTTTAATTTTAATGCAAACAATATATTCTCACCATCACCAAAGTCCTGTGATATTATTTTAGGACTGTATGAAGCAATACTATGACCTCTTCCTAAATCAAAGTATCTATAAAGACCAGGTAACGTATTGTTGCTCCACGAGTCTAAAAAATACAAGGGAATACATTGGTATTGCCAACACATCTCTTTTGATAATTTGGAATGTTAAAACTGCCTACATACCACTTCTGTCAATTTTCTTCCGGTACTCAGAGCTCATATATTTTGTGTCATACACATTTGGAAAGAGTGAATGTATGTTATTCTTGAATGCCTGGTACGATTCTAAGGAATAGGAGAAGAAAGTCTGTGATGAAAGTCATTGTTACATCTTAAGTAGTACTTCATTGCAATAAAATTTAACTTTGGCAGAAAAATATGAAATAGATATCCATCACAGGAAAAAATTGTATCCTTACTTGGAAGGGAACAATAGAACTGCTTGTGCATTATCATGAGATCTAGAACACAATTGTGTGCAATTATTGGCTTCTTCAACTGAACTAAAAGCTTAAAAATTCGTGTGAACCCTCTAATTGAAAGAAGGACAGCATTTTGCAATTCATCTTCATGAGAATGATTTTTTTCCATCATTGCTCTTTCTGTTGGAGATACTTTGAGAACTCTTATCTGTCAATTATGTTAGATGATATTACAAACAGACTTCATACAATGCAGTGACTGAGTTTCAGAGCACTGAATATACTTACATTTCCATCTTCTGGTAATGTCCATATGCAGATAAACCGCTTGCGCAATTCATGATGAGCAACATAAGCAATGCATTGTGAGCTTTGTGAGCTCCTAGGGACTTCAAGGAATATTGACTTTTCAGTGGCTGCTTCAGGTAAACCTCCAGCCAACCAAAGAGCAACCTGAGAGCACATTGCTTGAACAGATTCTTCGTCTTCATGAGATAAAGCTCGTTCAACTGATCGTAAGAGATCTCCATCTTTCAACTCTTGCTGGGCACGGATATCTTGTTCATCATTCAAAAATGAAATTCCATTGTACACAAACTGTTTCATACAAAAGATACCAATTAGAAACACTAATGATCTCACTCACACTTCAGCTGTCTTAATACTTCAAGTACTTAGTAGTACTTACCTTGTTAAAATCAAATTTATGGTGACAAAGAAATTCCAGAGAAGATGCTTGGCATTTAAAACGCTGATCGTTGGAGCCAAATGTGTGAGGGAATAGATAAAAACAGTAGGAATGGCTTTCATAAACATTTTTCTCTCGGTCAAAAATAAAGGCAGTGAGACCGAATTGCAACAGCAAAGCATCTGAAATATTATCTCTTTGCTTTAAATAACGTTGTTCGGCCGTGTCAAAAAGGCTTTAAAGAAAAAAATACACTAGTGAAGCACTCATGTGAAGCCAGACGTGGAACATAACCTTCAATTTTATTTCACATACCTGGATTTGGATTCAGTGTGAGAAACTAGGCAACTGAACTCTGTGTCAATTGCTATAAATGCAGCATTTTTAATATCTTTCTCAACCCTAGGAAAATTCTTTTCAAATGTGTCACGCAAAACCTCAGTCATTTTCGAGACGTCTATAACAAAAACGACGAACACTTTACAATTTAAAAAGGGGCTCTCACTGAGAATGCAGCGTTTGTCGTCTGCTTTCACGCTGTCTTGCCAACTATCGTGCAATGAACTTACGATTACTCAGTGAGCGTTAGGAACTGTGATACAAAGAATTGCATGTAAACGGCACATAGGAACTCAAGGAAATAAATATTGGTAACAATTCATAGTGCATATTATGTGCGTTAGGAGGGACTCATGTGCTAGAACAAAATGTGCCAGGTGTCTAGTATTGGCCTCACTTGTCAACAAGTCCGAAGCAGAAGCAGCAGCAGAAGAAATTGAAACTGCCTGCAATTGTGTCAAAATTTGAGGATTTCTGTTGTATCCGACGAGAATACTTTAGAGGCACGTGAACAACATGGGAGATGCACAGAACGAGCCAAAAAAGGAAGAAGGTGAAAAGAAAGTTCTCCACACTTATGCTCTAGTTCGGGTAAGGCATTACTTAAGTTTGAATCTTTACCAACAGCTATTTCTTCTTGCCTTACTTCCATGTCTTCCTTCTTTACAGTTTTGTGACATGGTGGAGGAGATGCGTACTGAAGCAATGGATCTTAGTGCAAATGCATGTGAAAAACACTCCACCAACAATGAGGTGAGTTGCAAAAATGTTATTGAGGCTGTTTTATGCAGAAATGTCGTAAAATAAGAATTTATTTTATGCTTCTTCAAAACGATGTTTTCTTTTCCAGTCTGCGGCAAGAATGATAAAGGAGAACATGGACAAGAAATTTGGTCCTTCTTGGCATGCTATTGTTGGTGAGGGATATGGATTTGAAATATCATATGAAGTAAAACATTTGATGTACATGTACTTTGGTGGGAATTTAGCCATATGTGTCTGGAAGTGTTCCTGAATCCATCCACTTTCCTTGTCTGAGACCAAAATTTTAATCTTTTATATTCCAAATCAATAGTGAAGTAGTGAAATTTTATACCTTACTCTCTAGCTTCATAAAAACAGACAACCTCCTTTCTGTGATGAGTCCTTTTCCTTAAATCTAGAGTTATAAAGTGTAAATAGGACTTCAGGTACACAAAAAATTCTTGTTTTGCCCTTGAGAACCAAAGCTTTAGTCTTGCTTGTGCATTATGTACTAAGAAGTTAACAGTATTATGTCCTAGTTCCTATTTGTTTTGTGTTCTAAATATTTAAGGGGTTAATTCTGACTGGGGAGGAATGTATGGTGTTGCTAAATCATCCTGTTATTACTTGTCCTTTTTGTTTTACCACATTGAGTGGCAGTTATTGTAAGGTTGTTAAGTAGGGGTTCACTTCTTTTATTGTGTCTTCTTCTTAAAAGTATGTGATAGGAAGTTCCGTCCAAATATTTCTGTGTTATTTGTCCTGTGTTTTTCATGATAAAGAATTATGAAATGGACTCACAAATCATTTTTATGACTGTTTGAAAATTCAGAGTACTGAATAAACCAATCAAATATTTTTTGTCATTCTAAATGTTTGTGTATTCATGTGCTCAGATTTTATTTTATACTTTTATACTAATGTTTTTTCTATTGTTTTCAGTTACTGACTTTCTTCTAGTCTTCCTTTACTGCAATCTTTAATGATTATTTTTTATAAAGAGCTATTCAGCTTTTTTGATAAGATTATAACCAATCAGTATTCATAATCATATCCTGTCCCAAATTATCATTAATAAGTTTTTCTTATCTGTATCTTGTTGTTTACTTAGCCCCTCCCAAACCGCATAATTCAGCATAGTGGGCAATTACACGGCAGTTACCTATCCGGGAGTCTGGCACTTGTGAGTTCTTACTTGAAGACAAAAGACAGGTGTTTTACTCGGAACACTGCAGACTGCCTCGCTCTCTCGTTGTACTGCTGGTAGTTGGGGATCGTCAAAAAGTACATCCGTTTTGCGCACATTCAAATCACGGGAGCTCGGCGCCTGCGAGACTGTGGGTAGGCCAACCCGCAGTACACGCGTGCACTGCAGGTCAGATGTTGCCTATCTACCGGGCGCTATGAGCGCTCTCCGAGGCTGGACTAGGCAGGTTCGGAACGGCGAATGGCGGACGCACTTGCTGGATAACCCCTTAGCAGTTAGCAGCGTCCCTTTTTAGCTACACAGTTGTAGCTACAACTACTAACACGGCCACGGCCTGGCAGCTTCACCCGAACCGACTGTAGACAAAAGTCGGTTCGGATATTGCTGCAAACAGGCACGTCGTCCCCGCCGACGAGGGGTCGACAGGGTACTTACGCACGAGTAAACTGGTTCGTTCGAGCTCGAATATTAATCGTCATGTCAGCGTGCAGAAATTATGACTACATGACTTCAAGACGATTGAAACCCGATTGAAACGGTATTAAATGTATGATTCAAATGCAACTGAAGAAGTTAAATTTTGAGCACGACAATGCTCACGTCGTTCTCGCGCGGCTTGACCGCTCAGCAGTCACTCCATCTTATTGGCTCACTCGCCTGCTCTCTCACGCCTGCTTTCCGACTTACCCTCCCACTGCCGCTCGCCTGCTCGACCAAAGCTAAAGTGATATCCTCTGCTCGAAGTCGGTGGCGCCGTGTCGTTGCCGTAAGTAGCTGGAAGACAGCGTCACGAACTTGTCGCTTGATTTTTTTCTTATTTATTTTACTTCACCTTTTGCTGCCATTTAAGGGGAAAGGATGCGGGTTGGGCAAAGGGTGAAAAACTGAAACGCCTCCTTCCCTTAGTGCTTGAATAGCACGTCACAGAGTATTTATCATAAAGTTGAGGAAAGAGAACCAAGACTTGAGGGTGTTCTGGCACAGCTTGAGGTCGACGGTGCCCAGCTCCTGGCTGGTCAGCTGCTGCGGCCTGGCGCTCCTCAGCATCACCTACGGGGCACACCACCTGTCACGTCATGAGCCGGCACTCGGCGCCTCTAAGGGAAAAAGAATGAGTGAAGTCAACCGAGCCTGACCTGCAACCTCAAAATGCGACAGAAGCGATCGCTCTCCAGCCAGGACCCGCTGTACGCCGAATACGACATGGCCTCGCTGGCGTCCATCATAGCCTGCAAGATAAAGGAGCAAAATCAGACGGCCTCCACCAGGGCCCGGACCAGCACCGCGACGCTCCGCACGCTTTGCACCTGGCCGGCGAAGCAGAGGGGTATGAAGATCAGGACGTTGATGGGGACGAGCACGACGAGAAACTCGTCAAACTGACCGTGCATCATCTCGTAGCAGGCGAAGAGCGGGATGAGCAGCGTGATCTGCAGATGGTGCAGTATGAAGCCGTGGAACAGGTTGGTTAGCATGGAGAAGCCCTTGTTAAACTCGGACGACAGCAGCGCCGCGTCGCGGACCTGCAGCGCGCCAACGATTTGTAAGAGAGGTGCTGGAAAAGGGGGGGAGGGTGCTATGAGTCGAGACCAGAACCTGCTGCGGCGTCCGCGCTTTCCTCAGCTCACTGCCGATGGCCAGCGACATCGCCGAGCACACGCTGACTATGCCGGTGGTGAACGCGGCCATGGGGAAGAACGCAATGGGGAGGAACAGGGTGCTGAACGAGTGCAGCGTGAACAGCGCCCACCAGGCCGTCGGCGTCCTGGGCGGCGGCCACGCCGGGTTGACGGTCCGGCCCGTGAACGCGACGGGGACCATGATCGAGAACTGCACGCAGATGGCCCAGATGTTACTGCCTCGGAGGTACCGGGAGGCGCGCACCACCGCGCGCCGCAGGGTCTCCTGGGAGGGAGAGAGGGTTTACAGCTTAACGCCCGCGGCCTCGCCCGCGGCGCAGTCAACGGGGAGAGAGCCGCCGAGGGGCTCCACCAACCTGGTCGTCCAGGTCGAGCCGGGCGCCGAGCGCGCCGCCGGCGCCGGCCTCGATCCGTCTGGCCACCCAGCTGAGCTGACGCAGCGCGGCCAGCGCCTCCTGCCGCTTGAAGGCCCAGATGTACACGCCGGCCGTGCACGAGTAGATGCCGCTGAGGAAGCGCAGCGTCGGCCCCGCGTCCAGCAGCGACGTGCGCGTCATGATGCAGTCCAGCGAGGCGAGCACGAACACCGCCACCCCGACCAGGACCGCCCACTGCAAGGAGAAGGAGGAGGAGGTGCAGGCGGAGCCTGTGCCGGGGCCTGGCCAGCGCCGCGTGCACAAGCGCGTGCAGCCACGGGGCCGGAGGGGCGCGGGGGGTGTACCTTGACACCCGTGCCGTGGCAGGTGATCCAGAGGCGCTTCCACGGTGGCTTGGGGATCGACTTGTCGAAGTGCGCCTCCCAGTGAGCGAGGTAGTCGGTCGCCGTCTCGTACACCATGTTGCTGGACTGGATAGGGGGCAAATCACAGAGATGTTTCGCCCACTAAAGATCCAAGATAGTGCGAGCGAAGAGAGCATGGAGGGAAACCCGGCTGTTATTTTCACTAACAATCCTGAGCGACGAAACTGTTAAACGCAAACGTGCTACCCAGTTTCCTGAAAACGACCTCGATGGAAACAGAATCGTTTGTATGCCCTGTACGGAAAGGTAACATCTTTAAAAGTAAAAAGAAAGGAATGGCAGGAAGTCGTCCGCGAAACAGCGAGACCCCTCTGTGTGTCTTGGTGTCCGTGGCGCCTGCCAACGAGCGGGTAGGCAGTCCCGCCGAGCAGCCCTGCGGCCAGGTTGCCTACTCGCCGCGCCCGCCCGCGCCGTCACCTACTGCCGCGCTGCCGCCGCCGCCCTGGAGTCACCCTCTCCTCCGTCCCGTCCTGCCCCTCGGGGTGGCTGCAGCAGATTGGTATCGGACCCGGCGGCCGTGTGGCGTCTCGGCGCGGGAGTCGCTCCCGCCGCCGGAGGAAGAGGAGGGCGGCGCGGAGAGCCTCAATCATGCAAGGGCTCGAGTCGAGTTCCGCGTCGTGCTGCTGCATTATGCACCTGCACCGCGCTGTTGTTGCGGCGGGGCGGCGCCCGAAGCGTGACGCGTGCACACGGGCCTCCGCCCGCACTCGCGTGCAGCCGGCGCGCCGTGGCGGGTCTCCTCAGCTCGGGGCTCGGGAGGGAGCAAGCGGTAAGCCAGCACCAGCACACTTCTGCCCACCACGTCTGCTGAAGGAGCTCGAGTACGTACATCTTCAAGATGATTTGTTTGTTTGTTTGTTTCTTTTTTAAAAGTGAAGGTTTAGTTGAAATTGAGCCATAAATATGCGTAGCCAAAAATATTTCAGGTTATTTTTTTGTATAGATTTATTGATGTCAATGTAACCACTTTTCATTTATACACTGATGAACATGCATCTTTCTTCAGATATTTTTTTTTGAGGTCGAATACAGCACTATCCTGTAATTCTTATATCAATTTGTCAAAAAATTAACTGCAGCATGAACTTTTTATGGTTGACGTTCTTCATCTCATTTACAATGTACGATGCTGCATTTACTGTAGCTAGCTTCCTATAACAGTGGTTTACAAACTTTTACTGCTTAAGCTCTGAGTATACCAGGGATAAGGTGCTGGGTTCAAAATGCATATGGTAATGCAAAAGTTACCAAAAAGGTATATCATGCAAAGAGATGTACTTACACCTCTTAGTTTTGTTTACATTTTAACAGAATAACATCATCTTAAAACTCTTGGTTCAGTTTAGAACATCCTTGAAAATGAAATATTACTTTCTGAGTATTTCTGATGTGATACAACATAGTTGAAAGAAATAAACATAAAATTTGCTATCTTTGCAGGAGTATTTTAGTATCAGTCTCTTCACTGTCCATAATAAGTACGGATAAGCTGCATATGATTTTAGTAGAACAGTAGAAATAAATAACTAGAAATATCTATGTTTTCAGAGATTTGCTTGATTAAATATAAACATAAATCATGATTTTTCAATTCATAACAAAATTGCCCAGTGAAACTTTTTAAAAAAGAAATACTATGTGTGATATGTTGAGTCTAACTTCTTAGAAATACATAATTTTAAATTGAAAACGCAGTTATACAAAGGTTGGTTACATAACATCCCAAACAATATTTCTGTTTACACCCTTCAGATGTTTTTTCTACAAAATTTTTAGTTAAACCATTGTTTCAAGGAAATAATAGCATTGAATTTATATCATATTTTGAGCCTTTCTCTGATGGCTATTCTTTTTGGAGAGCAGTAATTAAGGAGAAGAAAGGACCGTCTATTGTATCTTGCACTCTCTGCTTATGCACCCCCATCATCATAAGGAAGCTGGTTTGATTTACCTCTGAAATAAATATCACAAGGCACCGAGGAATAGGATGCATACTCAACCAGCATTCAATCTGTGGCTTGGAAACCACTTCAAATCATTGTTGGTCATTTATCTCAAGCACAGTTTATGACTAGAACATAAATCTTGCTTTTCTTAAAATGGTTAAGAAAAAAGCAGACAAAAACAGTAACAACAACTGACTGACTTAACAGTTCCTTTTCAATTTACAGTACATTTAACACAAAGTACAGTTCTGATGCCTCATCAAGACTGTGCATTCATTCACAAGATATTTTCCCCTAACATTTACTGGTATTTACTAAAAGTAGGTAGTAAAGAAGGCTCTTTTCTATTTAGCAGGAGGGTGTTTTTTGCCTACAAAATTTTACGTACACAAATCAATTATATAACAATAGCATCTGAAGATGAAATACATCCAGCAAGGTAGTATCAAACTATCAGGAACAATTCAAAACATTTTCTTTGAACAGAGAAGATGAGAAATCTCCCCTGTAGACAATATCTCATTCGGTATATAACCCTGTAAATATATACAACAGCACATATTAACATGTACACTTACATTAAAGCCAGCTGCACACATGTGGTGTGTATTCCATGATCATGGGACTAGAATTAAAATGACAGCATTCTTACTGATAAGAGCAAGACTTTGTGAGAATACTTGCTATTATGAACAATACTAAATCTAATTTTCAAGCAGTTCAAATTTCTGTTTTTACTACTGACAGCACCATAACAAAGTAAAGCAGTTTACACTTCAATAGCAATGTTAAAATCCGTTATAGCTGATATGGATGGAGTTCTTCAGCAGGGGAAATAGACATCTGAAAGGTTTCTTGCACAATTTTTCCTAAACCTTGAAAATGTGATATCTGTCTGTTCTTCATTCTGAAACAAAAGGTACAAAACAAATCTAACAAACAAGGCAAGCCTTAATTAAACAATTTAAACCTATATAAAGACATCAAATCATAAAAATGAAAAGCAATAAAAATGTCATAAAATAATAAATGTAATAAAATATTATGATAACATTTTACGGTATCATAAAACTATAAATATAAATATTTCAGGAATGAAAACGGCAACATACAAGAGAGGGTGAATACTGTACGATATGGTAACTTAACAGAAAGCATTCTGCTTTTGTGAGACGCAAACCTTTTTTATAAAAAAAAAGAAAAAAAGAAAAAAGTTTGCAGGAAGCACTCAAAGTCTAATAAAAGAACAAAGGAAGTTGTGTTATAGTACTGAGGCAGCAACAGATGCAAAAACCTGACTTTTCGTTTTGCAATTCTATGAAGATCACATATAAGGTAGGCGGTATGCATTTTCACACTTTTCTCAATCACTCCTGAATCAGATTCAGCATGGTAGCATTAAGATGTAAGATGTGTGCAACCATTTGATTCAAAATACAATCTATAAATAATTAAGAAGTTGATATCATCTTTCATGTAAAATATGATGATTCTAATAAGAAAGTACTGTATTGCAGGCATGCTCTAAGAATCTCCATTACAGATCATGCTGTTTGTCAGTGCTTTGTTTTTATATAGGTGATTAAATACAGCCTACACAAATGCACAATACAAGAATAAAACCACATAAAGCTTATACAGTATTATTTAATTACAAAGCAAAGTCCAAACAACTTATTAAAAACTTTTGTGCTTTGACTAACAATAGCATCTGCTCACATAGACTCATGGTGAAAAGCATACCATAACTTTTGTATTGGCTCCTTAACTCAACCATGAGTAAAACATTAGTAAGTTACCTCATTGGAATTGTACACATGACTAGAATAGACTGAGGTTTCTTACAATGCTATAATCCAAACTGAAGATAAATATTCTCATAGATTTATGCGTTAGACTCCTTCAAGTTGTCAAAGTACTCCATTATTTGGTCATAGTCCATATTAAGGTCATCAAGACCCAACAGCTCCTCTCGTACCCTTTGCACCTCTCCCTGATCGTCTTCGGATTCATCATCATCCTCTTCTTCAGTTGATGAAAACATAGGATTCCCAACTATGTTTGCCCTTTTCACCTCTGCAATGCTTCCCTGGAGTTGTGCAGGGCCTGGAGACTGATCCGGAAACTCAACAAACGTGGGATCTGGGAGGTCATCCTCTTCATCTTCATGCCTCGATTGGCCATTCTGGCTGTTGTTATTGCCCTGGCTGTCATTATTGCGACTGTGTTGGTTGTGTTGGTTGTGATGGTGGTGGTGGTGTCGGCGCGGCTGGACCGGCGCAGGCTCGTCGTCGCTCATCAACGGGATGTTCCGATGGGGCGGAACAGGTGGTTTGTAGTCGGGGTCCTCTTCCCTCAGAGGTCCCCTCTTCTCTGGCGAGGAGCCATGAGCAGGTAGAGGTGGCGGAGGAGGGGTCCTGTTGCACAAACAACACAAAATTAATATTTAACACGTTCAGTGCCACACGACCACCATGTTTCCAAATAGCTAATTTTAAGTTTTAATTTCTCAAACCCTGGGGGTTGATGCTAGACCAAAAATATGTCTGGCCTAGGGGTGTCTCGGGTAGACAATCAAAACCCCGCCTTTGGCCTGTGGATCGGAGATAAAGATACGACCG